CACTCGCTTCTCCAGATCTTTTCACTATTTGGCTGGGAATAGATCTCTTGCTAGAATAAAAACTGGTAATTTTGGTCTTTCAGATAACTAAAGATACTTCTTTTTAACTGGCTCCTAAGCCTTCTAACATTTAGAGTCCGAACTGAACAATCACCCTGTATAGCGCCGAAAGCGTTTAAGTAGTGCGAGGAAAAACAATAAAGGTAAACAGGAACTTGCAAGGGTTAAATTGTGCGGAAGAAAAAATAAATAAAAGGACATACACTGATAGAAACATATATAACCTACCTATGTACACATGCATTTTCCTTGTGAGCTTAGAAGTGCTGAGACAAGCCAGATAGAAGACTCAGGTTGTTGGCTGCATTTTTGTTCCGTACGGCGGAAGAAGGAAAACACACAGCTTGGGTAGTACGGATTACTCAACAGCTGATTGATATTCACTAGGGATAGAATGAATGTCAAGAGCCTGGTTGTCAATAAAGAGGTTTCGGTTGATTACTTTAGCATCAAGACCCTTTTCTCTGGCAGCGAACATAACCTTGATTCACGACTTTCTTTTCTCTTGAATCGCACGAGCGTAGTCTTTGGTTATGACAAACAATAGACTGCAAGGCTGATACTACGTGAAAAATGTTTCGAGACACCAACATGACAGGCCAGCCTAAACATTTAAACATTCAACCGCATGGCCAGCACCATGCTTCAAAAACTCAGCGTATCGGATCTCAAAAGACCTACGGTCCGAAAATTCATAAATAAGAAACAGAAACTGCAAGGAACCGCATACGATAAACGCTGCCAACGTAGGATCTACAAGAGATCTGATCAGCCAAAAAATGTATAAAGACAAACAATAGACTGCAAAGTTATTTAGGCTGGCCTTGTCTAGCCACATTTATTTTTTGCTTTTCGAGACATCAATCAGTTTTTCTTGAGTCTCTTGAGTCGCAAGATAGTTTGATGATATCAGGAACTTTACCCTCGGGTAAAAAGAGAGGCTATTGTCTAGGAAAACAACGCACAGACCCAGGTCAGGGCAAATACACTACTGCAATGTCAATACCCCTATTCCTTGGCATACCCGGAATTTGAATCCCTTAAATTTGAATCGACCAATCAGGATTTAGCAGGCGGGAAAAACAGAACTGTCCTGACCTCCATGTTTGTTAACAGGAGAGGCATTGAGAAGTCGGGCAACTTTTCTTTCTGGAGATGGCATTGAAAATTTATCGGAGGAGATTTTTTATTCCAAAGTCAATTCCAGATATATTGTAGAAAGTGAAAAATATGAAACATATTTTGTCTGCAAGCTTTACTATGGCATCACAAATGGATTGCCCGCGTCCGGCAACTCGCTTATCGCTCTTCGAGTTGAATTTTTTTCAACAAAATATGTTGTTCCTCGTCAAATTAAACCCAGAATTCTTGAGTGAAGTATTGGAAGAGACCAAAAAAAGGTTTATTAGCATTGTATTTACTTTTTTAAGCTAAGAAGAAAAAGGCTCTTATCGACTCCTTTCGGTAGGACAACTGGGTTTTGAGTACCGCTTGTACTACGGGCGCGGGCACAGCATGCAAGTTTTATGAAAGTCTTTTAAGACTACTTGCAATCATTCTCCTGCCCTGGGGCCTGAAAAGGTGGCATGGGCAAGATCCGGGGGAGGACTCCCTGATGGGGGATGTTAGTCGTCTCGCTTAGGGGTATATATCAAGGATTCTAGTCTCACTTAGGGTGTCGAAACGCCAGTGTTCTTAGCTGTCATGGTAAAGCCTGGTTCTCATATGCCGCCGACATACCTGGGACACCGTTACGGCATATGTGAACATTTATCGCCGAATCATAATCTGTCCCAGGCATTGACCGCCGGCTTGCCTGCGAAGTTGAGCTGAGCTCAACTTTGCAGGCAAGCCGGCGGTTGTCGGCGATGAAAATACTTTATGTGAACATCATCTGCGGGTGCAACGTACTCCAGTAAGACTATTCGATCCTTATTTACAGGTAAAATGGTTGAAAATTGCGCAATTCGATTTGCATTTCGCGCAAATTTGAGTACGTTGGCGATCCATCGCAGATGCGCCGGGGACCCACTGGGACAAATCGCCAAACGTTGTCAGTTGCAGCCGGCGACTACGTCGCAGGTAGGTCGGCGGGATATGAGAACCAGGCTTAATATCGGAGAAATAATGATAATAAAAAAGCTCTTACATGTATTTCCGTTTTTAGGCTCGATTTCCGCCGGTGTCTCTAGTCCAGTCTACTAGGGCGGGCTTCTGTCCTGAACAGCAGCTGGATATCGAGCCTTTTCTATTTTACGTGGTATCTTTTACGGGTCAAATAAAGCTCCAATCGCGCCCAGATTGGTCTTCTTTAGGGGTTTAATTCAAATTTTCCGACGAACATCCCCGTCCTGTCCATATGGAGAGCAAGAATGGGTCGTGCAGTCTTGTGTAGTCTACACTCCCATCTTATCGTAATCTCGTTCTGCCTTAAAACCTTTCCCCCTTACTTATTTCCGCAACTGACATTTAAGAAAGAAACAGGCTCGTGAAAAGAGATTAATATGATTCTCACGGTAAAGTACTTGGAAAAGTTATCACTTTATCACTGGTATAATTATTAATTAAGTTAATGCTAAAACCTACTCAGTGCGGCAATTCAACAGAGAGTAAACTGTCTCCAGTGGTGCAGCGGTGTTGTTTAGGATGAGTTTTTTAATGGAAGGTAAAGAATCCTTGAACTGGTCTGCCATAAATGGAGTAAAGTCGTCAATCCTTTGCCACAAGTAATTTTCACTCAGGTTTAACTTCTGTGGTCGACTAATTACTTGAAATACATAGGACCAAAGAAAAGAAAGTAAAGTAACACGATCATTAGCCAGCCATTCTTCCTCCCTTCACGCCCTTAGGTAAAAAGGGTTTTTCTTTGATTATTAAGAGCCAACAACTTGTCAGAAACCTCAAGATACATATGTTTATGACTGTATGCCAAAAGGCTGACTAATCATAATAATAAGATTAATAATTCATTATAATTATTACATGACAGAGAAAATTACTTGATTATATTATGATAAGCTTAGAGCAAGCCAATTCGTAAGAAAATACCTACAATTCTTTTAGGTTTCGAAGAATGTAATAAAACTATTATGAATTTATGTATCATAACATTTGTTCAGTTCAGTTAATATTTACTTCTAACCTCTTAGTGATGATGATGATGATGATAATAATCAACTTTATTTATTGAGGGTAGCACACAACAGTAATCACTGAAAAACCAATGGCCCTCATATAAATGTTCACAGAATAACAAGATGGCGCTTAAAAAATTAAAAATATAGAAAGATTTTCAAATATGCAACGATAATATAAAACAAATAAGATATGAGACACACTAAAATATTAAAAAGGAACGGATTTAATAAGTCTAACAATAAAATTAAGAATGTGATGTATATTGTATATAAGTGACGTATATTGAAAACCAGAAAATTAAAGACCAGAAAGGTCATTCTTTGCCAGATCCAACTCTACAGCGTTTGGTCAAATTGATGCAATCTCTCCAACAGGACCTGCACATCTGATTCCATGGCCATCAAGGGTGATGATTCGTTAATTGTGGTTCATTTTCAGAGGTGTTCTGATTGGCAGTTGGAAGTGTAACGGTTTTCTACACACTGAAGACGAGCTATACACCCGAAATGTCTGTCTCTTGAAAGACTTTTATGACACTTTTTGATATTTTGTTATAATATCAACCTATAAGCTATTTAACTGCAAGTGTGACGCATCTTTAACGGTTTTTTCTTTCTCCACTTATTTAATTGGAAGTGATGTATATTTTGCCTTCTATATAGTTCTATATGTTAGAAAGTTGAGAAAATGTAACAGTTTGAATTTCAAAAAATGTAGGATTAAAAACTGTCAGTATAAGCAAAATCTTACATCTCTGGCCCTCTAGGATAATAAACCTTAAAATTAGCGAAATTATGCTACAAGTTGTAATAAGTTTTTCATATATATATCTATACAAAACTGGCAGTCGAGGTTAATAACTGTCCTTTAATATGTACAGTTTGAAAACTTGGACCATTTAAACTTAACTATATTCAATAATTGGCCCGTTGTACAGAAAGCTTTGCAGACAAGCATGCTACTAAGTCCTCGTGTAAAACCTTTCTTATGAAAATGAGTTTGATTTGTATGAAGATGAACCTGTGGGGAAACACATTTTCGTGTGAATGGTTTCTCATGAAGACTCGTTTTGACACGGCTGCAGAGGCAAAAGGCAACTTGGAAATGGTCTACACTAACTAATAAGTTGAAATCACTGTGAGCACTAACGATGCAAGCTAATAGGCCCTTTGCAGCTCGGGTCACGTGACCAAATTTTTCCTAAAAAAGATTTGTATTATGGGCTATAACTTAAAGAATGCCCGAAACGGAAAGAGCGAAATGGCCAAAGTCTGAGGCCCTAGGAATTAACGAGTAAGTTTATTCCACGGTTTGAATTTTCGGAAAATTCAGAGGATTTGAATGGAAAAAGTTGCTGGAGAGCAAGGTCTTGCTCTCCAACAACTTTTTCCATACAAATCGTCTTATACTGTCATAAAATCTCATTCTCTGATGATGGGGGCCTCAAACTTGGCCATTTTGATATTTTCATGCTTTTTCCATTTCTGGCATGCGTTAAGTTATAGCCCATACTTTTAGGAAAAGTAGGTCACGTGATGGCTTAGCTGCAAAGGGCCTATACAGCGATTTCTCGATGAAGGTTCTTCCGGGAAAATGAGGCTTATTCAACAGTAAGTCATCCATTTGTGCAAAAATAAGCTTAATTATTGCTGGAGCAAGTTAAATGTTGAACAAATCACGTGTAAGCATGTACGAGCCAGATTGATATTATGAGGTCACGAACCATATCGGTTCGCTGATCTCTTATGTCTGGAATGAGGGGAACCCCCCTGCTAAATTATTTATTACTCAACTTCCTGTTTCACTTTCAGTTGTATTCCAACGACCGGTAAGGTAGGTTTCGCAGGAGTTTAGTTGATTCAGAAACTCAAACTTTCCCAATGTTTCTCAATGACCGGTGTATTAATTGCTGAAAGCTTGTCTCCATAGAATACCGAGTCATCTGAAGCATATTATTTCTGTTTAGCTGAGACGAAGATCTGAGCTAGGTATTCTATGTAATTATGAATAATCACTGTTGACGCTTTCGAATTAGAATTCATATTTATCGTCTCTGTTTTAAATCTCGTTCGTGGGGAATGAACTCTGGAAATTCAATATGATGATTATAAATGCTCTTATTAGTAAATGGAATCGAAAGAGCTCTCAGATTTGAACTCTGTCGCGGAGATATAAAAACATAAACAACGCACTTCAGCGAAGGAACAGATTTGCATAGTCTCCTTCGCAGGCATCGTCACTAAATTTGTGCGTCAAATTTATTTTGAAAAGGGATTAACCTTGAAGGTTTCTTAAACTGAAAGCACCGTTATGTCTTCATGTGACTGTTGAACAATCTCCCCGATGTGTGCACTTTCTGAGAGTAAGCAATCACAAGAATTAATTGTCAATAAGGGAGGCAGACCGAATTTCATTCGTAAAATTAACGGAAAATGTATCCTGTCTACTTGATCTAGCGTTACGCTTGTGTTACACTTGTTTGGTTTGGCAGAGGATTTCTTCGCACTAAAGAAGTGAAACCGGGGCCTTTGATATCGATTGCTTTTTCAGTTGCCTTTGTGAAAATTATATTACTATGAGATTAACCTTAAAGGTGTCTTAAAATGCAGGCACATGATGTGAGATGCCTTTCGATGAAGCAAGGCAAAACATCTTGTTAAAACAACGCGTGATGTACTCATTTGAAATCTCATTTGAAATCGTGTACTTTTGTGCAAATCACGAGACCGAGACTAAAACTTCGCTAAACCTGGCTTTTCTGTCAAAGTCTAAATAGAATTTCTTGATGGCTCTTAGAGGAACATTCCTCCCTCTCTTACAGCACGCCGATTCCCGTTTATTATGGTCATACTCTTGTAGGGTCACGAGGCACATTAATGTTTTAAATGATAAGGGAGACCCCTAACGTCTGACCTAATTTTATTATTGCGTAAATCAGCACTCTCAAATTGTTTCCTTTTTCCGCGCTCGTGAGAAGTAAATTTACATCGTTGTCAGTCTCTATCCAATTTTACTGACAGAAGAGTCGAAACGGGATTGGTTGACTTTAAGCAAGTTCAAGACAGTCATGTTCATGAATGGTGTTTGGTAGTGAGGTTTAGAAAAAGAATAATATGGATAGATTCGATAATGTTAACAAAAAGAATACGAATACTTGTTTTCTTTTGTATTTCAGTCATGGCGGAAAATGAAATTAAGTCACGTGAAGCAAAAGTGGATTTTGATGAAGGTGTTTTAGCAGGTAAGAAGGCAAAAGCTCCAAATAACTTAACAAGAAATGAAATAATTGACATCAGTTTCAGTTCGCGGTTGGTTTAAAAGTATCAAATATTACAGAGGAAATTACGTGGTTTCAAAATAGTAGTGGAAATTAAAGCGCGATGTTAACTTGGAGTAAACAAGTCCAAACTGTCTAAACTATCTAATGTCATTCCCTATAACTTAGCTGATAAGTCAAAATAACTGATTTATTAGGTTGGGTTGCCCTAAACACTTGGGAACAGCGGACAAGGCAAAAGCCAAAAATTTGCCAAAGATTTAGAAGGAGAGGGTCACTCCAAAAAGCTTACTTTTTTTGTCTCCATCTATAACAAGAAACATTAGGTTTTTCCACTCACGGAAGTTTTAGCCTCTAAAGTGCTTGCTATCCTGAAGAGAGTCGTCTCGAAAGAAGCCCAAAATTCGACTTTGGACGCTGCCATTTTGAAAATGTACTTGGCAGCCAGGCCGTGTTTATGTGACGTCATTCTGTCCAACTCGAAATTGGCGGGAAGCAGAAAAATCTGCAACTGACTTGGGATCCTTCACAGGGTAAGCAAAATGTATTTTTTCCAACCGATTATCCACTTCACTATCTTCACTGTTATCATTTTCGGGGTTTGGAGCACGTTTGCCTCGAAATAATATGGCTCAAGTGCAGCTATAACCTAGAGTGGTAATTAAAAGGCCTGTCGAGAGCTACGGACAAAATCCCTTGGACGGAATGACGTCAGGAAAACGCGGCCTGGCTTCTGAGTACTGTTCAAAATGGCGGCAACGATGTTGAACTTTGGGCTTCTTTGGAGACGAACTTGTACTTTCGGGAATGAAACTTCGCTGGGTAGCTAAACTTAGTGCGAGATTATTTCTTCTGTGGAAAAAAAAGATATTTTTTTTGGAGTGACCTTCTCCTCGAAACACGAAAAAAGACATCCGAGACCTTTTTTTCAGTAGAGAACTAAACCATTGTTTTGTTTTCTCAGTTTTGCAATGCTATTTGTTAGTAATTGTCATTAGTATTAATTATATTGTAAATTATTGTTGTTAATTATGAAATAGAATAGTTTTCAGTTGAGTATCGTTATTAAACCAAAACCAAAGTAATCACTCTAGCCAATCACAAACGACACAGACAATCCAGTGAACCAATGAAAACTTGAAGTAAAATGCATGTAACTGAAGCGAAGCGCGGGAAAACGTGTGCAAGCAAATAAGGATTAGTTTTGGTTTCACTTCCGATTAGATGAAAAAGGGGCACGAGTTTTCTAAGCAATCACGTAGCGTAGTATTGCAAAACAATTACCTTTCAACACTCAAGTGAAAACCGCTCTAAAGAGTTTTTAGATAAAAAAGTAAAGTTTGTTTTCCCGACGTATTATCATTCATAGCCCAAGGCCCAGCTCAAGGCCCAGGCCCTTCTGATGAAAAACTTGATTATGATGATGATACTGTAAGAGGTGAGCGAATAACACTAAGTAAACTATTAATTTTACACCTTATCGTGTTTTACACCTTATACCTGTTCGGCTAGTTTTGATGGCATTTTAAGCTATGGCTTACGATCCCGGCCCCCGCAGTCAGCGGTTGGTTCGCCGGGGGAAACTTGCCGAAGCCGAAGCGTACTAATGAGGTACGAATAGGAGTAACTGTACTTTAATTTGACCAAAAAGCTGACCATATCAGATCAGCGAAAAAAGGAGATCATTTAAAACCACCTGGTTAAATGTACATGCAGTCTCCGAGCTCTGAACAACAGTTCGCTTACGTCACTTTTATCTTCCAGTACTCAATAGCGTAACAAGACTGCGGTAGCCTGGGGGGCCTTTTGATAAAATAATTTTGGAGTGATATTAAGCTTAAAATGATAACTAATGTACCTCGAAGTGAAAACTAAAAGAACTTTTCTCCGATAAGAGCTGAGAAAGTTGTAAATGCCATTTGACTCAGACGTGTTTTTCAGCGTTAAGCGTTGCGGCTGGTTTTGACGCTAACTTTAAAATCTTTTAAAACATGGTGTTAGCTGCGTATAGCTGTGTTACTTTGCAAGAAAATAAACGATGTCTTAAGTAATTTAAGAGTAAGGGAACAAATTATTCATTGCCGGCACTGTATAAATAAGTTGCTAATCAAATTAGTTTTCCTTTTTTAGCGATAGCAAAAGTGTACAGCAACAGGGCAACAGCGTATTACCGTCTCGGTAAGATCTTAATCTGGTAATTATCTACCAATCAAAAGAAATTGTTGTTTTCTTTCTGTTCAGCTTTTCCTAGAAGATATCATTCAAACAGATGACATTGAGAAAGTAACTTTGGGAAAGTTACTTTCCGGGTGCAAGTATCAGCCCATACGAATGAAAGCTAAATAAACACTCAGTGCGTACGAACAATAGCACCGGAGCGAGGTTGGGCGGACATTTTCATACATTTCCTGTATTTTTGTCCACCCTGACCTCGACTCGGTGCCATTGTTTGTTGAAATGTGGAAAAGGTCCGTTTGTCTTTAATGTTCACCAGTAAATTTTCCGACGTTTTCCGCTTTGGTTTTCCTNGGGGGGGGGGGACATTTTCATACATTTGCTGTATTTTTGTCCACCCTGACCTCGACTCGGTACCATTGTTTCAGTGTTGAAATGCGGAAAAGGTCCGTTTGTCTTTAATGTTCACCAGTAAATTTTCCGATGTTTTCCGCTTTGCTATTTTTCGCTTTGATTTTCCTTCTTTGGGTAAAATTAAACTTGTATGCGTAAACGAAATTCTTTATGTCAAATATTGACCTGCAAAAATAGGAAAAAAGCCGGAAAATAGAAAAGTATCTTTTCTTTACAATGTCAGACCTCTTTCAAAGATCAGATTCGTTGATTGCCCCTAGATTGAAAGAGGTCAGACCGTTGAAATAAAACAAGCTCTTTGGATATCTCTTGAACCTCGGGAACTTTTATCGCTTTTACTTTTGAGGTACTGCTTCTCAATCTGTACATAAAATAATTGTTTCAATTATTTTAATCAGGGAATTTCCACGAGGCCCTGAATGATGCAACAGCTGCCGTCAAGTTGGAACGAACTTTGATGAAAGCCATAGAAATAGGTAAAATCCTTGACTCGATTGACTTATAACATGCTAAAGTTCAAAGCCATCGTATCGAACTCTGACGACTCAAAGTGCACGGATGTCATCGATCGGATAGCCGAGGATCGTAATTGTGCGATCAGTTCAATTTTCACAGCACAGTGTCACCGTTCCCAGCAATGTCCAAAGATACTTCGTACATTTTTCCAGTAACCCGTCCCACATAAATCAGCAATTTAAACAAGGGATTATTCAGGAAACGTCGCTGAAATCAACCCAGTTTTGATTGAAACACAGTAAGCCATTTTGTCCTACTGGATTCCACAATTCAGTGCCCAGCCTTCACCAAAATGTAGTTCGAAGGCTCTCTGTTAGGCATTATTTCTCTACGCACATTTGTGTAGCTGGGTTGTTAATGGTTAAATACAAGAATAAACCAGGCTTGAGTTGTTTTCACCTTTGTAATGCAGGTAATATTTTGGTATTTTTGAAGGAGCAAGTGCTTGTGAGCAGCTACAGTGTTATGAAGACGCCATACCGTGGTGTGAGAAGGGATTGGTAGTATCTTTTATAACATCATGCTTTTATGTTCTTTGCCAACTGTAATTAAAAAGGAGCTTTCATGTTACCTGTAGGAATTCTAGGTATTCCCTTGCGCTACTTACAAACGAACATTCCTCTCAGAAATGTATTTTAATCCCCAAAACGTAAGGAGGGCTTCCATCCTACCCCTTGTCCTTTGTACAGTCGTGGAGGAATGAGTGGTAACACCTAGGGGTAACTTGAACGAAATACTTTCGAGGAGATATGTGCCGCTTTATCCGACTTATAGAAAGGATCGTACGACTAAAACTTCATTGTTAACGATTGATAGTGTACCTAGGGAGAGTTGTAGCAGTTACTTGGGTTAAAAAAAAATCATCTTTTGTTTTACAAGCTTTTTTCGTATTATCCCCACATCCCTCGTGGTTTATTGCGCCGGTAAACCCATACAAAGAGTGCTCTATCACCGGCTTAAATATAATTTTGTGTACATGACACAGTCAGCTTTTTTGTTAGAGCTTTATACTTTTATCAGTAGAAAAATCCAAACAGCTCAACTGTTTAACCTACATAAGCTTACTGATTATTTGTATATGGAGGACTGCCAAATTGGACGAGGCCTTAGGCCGAGTCCAGTTTAGCAGTCTGAGGAATTTTTCTCATCCAATTATTTTCAAATTGGACAAGCAAGTAGTCCTATTACCTATTAAGTATATAGCATCCAAAAACAGATGAACAAGGAAAATATTTGACCCTCAAAAGCACAGTAAATTTGAAAATACCTAGGTTTTTGTGCTTCTTTGAGCGTTCTTGTTCTGATTATCCTCCTTCATCTCGAGTAAATCAGTAGCATCTATCTCTGGAAACCACAGGGTTCTCCCTTATTTTCAGTACAACAGGTAAAAGAGCATTTTAAGCCGGTAAAACAATCATGGGTGAATCGCAGCCTTGTTTATTAGGTCTGCTCTGTACATTATATGGAATTCAAATCAATGTAGGTGATGTGCTTTCCAAGACAGGTGTTTCTTTCTCAAGTTGCAAAGCCACTTCATCGCCGATGTTGTCGTTTCCTAATAAAAACATTTTCTTTGAAAAGACCTCCATCTAATATGCATTACGGTTTACTAATTTTACACCTTTGGCTTTAGATGTCAAATGAAATCAAACAGCATTTTCATTTTTAAGTGTTTTATTCTTTGTCTGAATTCTCTTGCCCTAAAGTCACAGAAAAATAGGCAAAAGCCACATTCGGGGTATCCTC